TTTAACTCTGGGTCTTATTTACTGCATGAATAAGGTCTGAGACCGAGCCTTTGGTCAGCCTTGGTTATGCCACTTTGGGCGAGCTTCACCGAGAAATTCATTCAAAGCCAGTTGCCAGAATCCGTATTGCTGAAAGCATGCGTATAAGGACTAAAAGTCGCGAATATATTATAAAAAGTTGCTAAATAAGTGTTTTTTGTATTGATTGATGCACTATTCAGAGTACATAGCTAGGTAAACACTAGCTTCTTTTAACAGCTGCTCCTACAAAAATTCCAAATAGTGACATATAATAGCTGTCTTTTAAATTGAGCTACAAGGAGCCCAGTTGGGCTACTAATAGCCCAATCTGGCAACTGTTTCAAGCATAGAACTTTTTATGGAATGTGTATTCACCTAGTTGTGATTGCGGGGATTGAGCTCTGCTCTTTCGTCCCGCCTCACAACTGTTAATCAACGATCAATTTTTTTTTGTCTTACACACCCAGGAAGCAGCCCGTAACAGCTTCTTAACTCCCAGGTACCTATTTACTGCTAGGTAACAGGGGCATTAGGGTGGAAGAAACTCTGCTCATTTGTTTCCGCTATCGCCGGGGATCGAACCCCGGTCCCCAGGATTACGTGTTCTGAGTGCTGCCCACTCAGCCGCCCAGGCGCCCTATGTGTGTGTGTGAATATGTAGTTTCTAAAATGTTGCTAAAACGGTGAACACTTTTTAATAACATAATAATAATTTGATTTTATCGGGAGACAGGCAGCCAGTTTATATATACAGAACATGTTAGACTTGTATCGAGGCCTACCCCAGGGGTTGGGGAAGACTTTCAACAGAGGGGCTGTGTGTTGTCTATGAAGACAGAGTTTGTTATAGCAGATTTTTGCTGAGTGATGATAGGCTTGAGGTACTTTGCAGTGGGTGAACCCCCCTGTACAGATACCGTATGTAAGATAGGGGATAGATTAGTCCCACCCTTCCCTCTCCTACACTTCCCCCATCTCATCCATTTTCTCCCACTCTCCCACTCAACCCTCCCACTCTCTCTCCTGCCTTAGTTATGAGTAATGCAGAGTGAGTAGGCGAGTGGAGGCACTCCTCCCCGCCCCTCGAATATAAACACATGGGCCCTCGGGGATTACCTCTTCCTCTACTGGTGTAACTCATGATGTACCACCAGGGTACCACTAGTGTACCACTGGTGTACCGCTAGTGTTCCTTTGGTATTTATCCGTTGTACGTGTGGTATTTTACTGATGTAAATCTGATACAAAGATACAGTGTGTGTATGTATTCGATTTACACTGATAGAGATACAGTGTATTGGTTGTGAACTGTCAATACACTCCTAGTGTGTCCTAGGTGTATCTCTCTCTCTCTCTCTCTCTCTCTCTCTCTCTCTCTCTCTCTCTCTCTCTCTCTCTCTCTCTCTCTCTCTCTCTCTCTCTCTCTCTCTCTCTCTCTCTCTCTCTCCCTCCCTCCCTCCCTCCCTCCCTCCCTCCCTCCCTCCTCCCCCACTATCCTAAACAATATCCCTCCGCACAAGGTATCCATCACCCACAGATCTCTCGCACTTGTGTTAATCTTTCATCTCGTAAGACTGGAAAATCTCCCCTAACGACGGATTCGGATCATCACCGAAAATGCAGCCAAAAATGTTTCCCCTTTTCCTGGTAACTGTTTAGGAGAGGAGTTGAAGAAGGTGAAGACGCCTATAATCGTTTAGATTCCAATTATATATTTTTTTTCCCTGAAGTGAAGATTGGAAAAGACTTAACTTGGATTAAAGATTTAATCTCCTATGGTACATCGACGTCTGTATTTACATCTATCGATCTATCGATCATCTATTTTTCCTCTGATTATTTTTGAGCCTTTGTCTTAAGCAAAGTGTTAAATTAAGTATTTGATTATATATGAATTGATTTTCTAGTTAATGACAGACACTTCTTACGTGTAAGGTGGTTACAAAGCCGGTTACTCTTCCCCCTCTCACTAACCTCTTAGTTCCCCTCTCACTAACCTCTTAGGTTCCCCTCTCACTAACCTCTTAGTTCCCCTCTCACTAACCTCTTAGTTCCCCTCTCACTAACCTCTTAGGTTCCCCTCTCACTAACCTCTTAGGTTCCCCTCTCACTAACCTCTTAGTTCCCCTCTCACTAACCTCTTAGTTCCCCTCTCACTAACCTCTTAGGTTCCCCTCTCACTAACCTCTTAGTTCCCCTCTCACTAACCTCTTAGGTTCCCCTCTCACTAACCTCTTAGGTTCCCCTCTCACTAAACCTCTTAGGCTCCCCTCTCACACGTGTTGAAATTTCTGTCAGCTTGACACTAGTCCCCTTCCTTTCAGCCTTGTCACTATTTTCGTCCCTTTCTCTTCTCCCCTCTTCCCCCTCTTCTCTTTTTCTTTATCTCACTTCACTGTTTCCCTTCTCTCCCATGTTCCTCCTCTTCCAGCGTATATCTCACTACCCTTCACATTCTTAATATAGCTTTTCCCCTCTAAATTATATCTGCTTGTCACCCCTCCCCTTTTCCACCTCTCATCTCTACTCCCCTCCCCCCACTATCACCTCTCACTAACGTCTCCTCGTAGCAATTACCCCCCATCACCTCTACCACCCCTAATGACCACTATCCCTAACAACCACCAATCAGCCGTCAGGCGTAGATAATAAATTATTATTATTATTGTGAAAACCAACTGGAGCTCTGAGGTGATTCGAACCAGAGACCCAGAGAATCCCAACCGCTGACTCTCTGTATATATATACACCTAGAAGCAGGGTATACACCTCATAGAGCTTATATATCCCTGTCGAGACAATGTGTAGTTATAGTTTGCAGTCTTCAGAGTAAACTTTTAGGAGTGACATGTAAACAAACATATTTTCACCAGTATGGAATAATTAGACTAGACTAGAACGCGTTTCTGAACGCCCAGCCCCATAGGTTCTATCCCGTATCACGGCTCCTGTTGTTAATGTGATTTCTCTGTGTACTCATTATAATTATTAATATATATTTTTTAAATGTATGGGCTTCCAATTAAACCATAATGCTGTCATCAAAACGGGACAGGTGTCGTCAGGTGTCACTCACCTGTCACGTGACGGATTAACCTGGTGTCAGGTGCTATGGGGATTTTTTTAATTAATCTGGAGCTCATTTATATGCAATCAAATGTAATGAAGAGAATATGGTGATTTGCATAATTCATTAGACGTTGTTAATGGCTACTGAAGTGGATGATACAAGCTGGTACACACACTCACACACACACACACTCACACACACACACACACACACACACACACACACACACACACACACACACACACACACACACACACACACACACACACACAGGTGTGTGAGTGTGTGTGTGTGTATATATTTGCAGGGGGTAGAGGCCAAAACCGTCAGTAGTTTCAAAGCGTTATACGACAAAGAGTACTGGGAAGACGGGACACCACGAGCGTAGCTCTCATCTTGTAACTATACTTAGGTAATTATACTCGGGTAATTTCACACACGTGAAAGGGGGATAGGAGACCAGAAGGTAATTACATCATTCATGGAAGGCAGCTACACCATAAGGAGAAGGCAGCTACAAGAATCAGAAAGAGAGAGAAGGATCTGGGAGTGGATATCATTCCAACACTACCACCGGTAACACACAAACAGGATAACATCAGCAGCATATGGGACGCTGACAGATATAAGAACATCGTTTTAGAAACCTGAATCAGCGCTTCTTCAAAGCAATATGCACAACATTTGTTCCACCAATGCTGGAATATGCAGCACCGGCATGGACTCCGCAACTCGTAAAGCATAAACCCAAAATTGAAAAGTACAAAGGTTTACATCAACACACTCGGACGTAGGTTCGAATCCTCGTCACAGCCCTTGTGGATTTCTTCGTTTGCATCAAGTTTGGTGCCTACGAACTTAAGTTAATGGAACTAAATATCACAACCCTAGTGGACAGAAGGAACAGAGGAGATATGATCACAACTTACAAGATATTGATTAGAATATATAAAGTGGACAAGAATAGCCTCTTCAGATTGAGAGAAAAGTAGGACAAGAGGACACAGGTGGAAGATGGAGGCGCAGATGAGCCGAAGGAACATGAAGTAATTGTACCTTGTACGGGTAGTTAACAGGTGACTTGCTCTTAAAGAGGAGGTTGTGGGAGCCACCTCCATCCACAACTTTAAGGGCCGATTCGACAAGGAATTTCAAAGTCAGAGAAGTTGTAACGCAATAGGTACAAGGCCAGTTGGAGCGGCATACAGAACTAGACCTCACTCTCCCGTAAACATTGTTAGACAAGCATACACACAACATAAGCACATAAACAATATAACACACTATAAAAACATAAGCAACATAACACAACATGTTTGATATATACTGCATGTTTTGCTTGTTTGGTATACTGAGGTAGTGGTTAGGTGGGTCTAGCCGCGGAGCTCAGGTGCTGGTGAATGATGCCATCTTCAACTGGGTGGGGGTCCATAGACCTCAGAGTTGGTACTGCGGTAAAGTCCTTGTTTTGTGTGGTATCAGGTTGTTTTCATCTGATGAGGATAGCTTCTGGAATGTGTAACCTCCTGCCGTCAGTTGCGGAATCAAGTAACTCTTTGTTTCAGTTCTAAATACATTCGTTTTCGCAGACGAGGAGTCACAATAACGTGGCTGAAATACGTTAACCAAACCACACACTAGAAAGTGAAGGAACGACGACATTTCAGTCCGTCCTGGACCATTCTCAAATCGATTGTAATTATCGATTGTCACAATCGACATTCGCAGGCGATGAGTCACAATAAAAGCGACTTGAGAACGGTCCAGGACGGACCGAAGCGTCGTCGTCCCTTCACCTGCTAGTGTGTGGTCTGGTCAACACAATCGACATTCATTTCCGCTTTACACATAGCCCCTATAGCCCCGTCATCGAGTGCTTGCTAAATCCCTTCGGTCTCTCCCCCGACAGGACACACAGCAGGGTGCAGGGACGCCGGCCAGAGAGGATGTTGGTACCGAGGGTAGACGTGGGTGGCGGAGCTGATGGAGACGACCACGAACACCAGCAAGGAGTCGCTTCGATGTTATGCAACTGTCACACGGAGACTGACAGCATGACGGACACGCAACTCACTGTTCTGTGTCAGGCAAACGTCACCTGTACGAATCTGAACGTCCAACCAGGAGCCACTATCGTCTCCCCTATTCTCCTCTCCCTAAGTGGCGTTACTGGTGAGTAAATTGGAATTATTGCGTTGATTTACGATACAGTTTTCGCCGAATCGATAATTTAAAGATTAATCAGGTTAACTCGATTAATTTTCAGGTTAATTTTATGAATCGAGAGTTGGATGTTAACCAATTAATCCATTATGGGCTGGCTAAGCGATTCGGTTACAGCCCCGCTCCTGTGCCAGGTAAGTCCACTACGGGCTCACCATAGCCCGTGCTACTTGGAACATTTAGTTCCCCAGTAGCTGAATCTTAAGCAACAACTAGCTGAGCGCTTTCGGCAGATAATGACCTTAGTGTTTCTTCCAACAGGACAGATCTGGGCGCTGTACTACCTGTACACCACCACCAGACCTCAGCACTCACGCACAGTGTTCTTCGTCCTGCTCAGCACGCTCATATGGACCGATCTGATTGGCAAAGTGCTCACTACCGCGCCGGCGCTGGTAGCCTACGTTCATGGTCGATGGGTTGGTGGGGTAAGTCTCTGTGGAGGTGGTGATTGTAGGGGGTGGTGGGGATTGTGGTTGGGGAGTGGTGGTGGTTTTGCCAGGGGTGGAGGGTGGTTCTCCCAAGGGTGAAGGCTTTACCCTGTGGGAGGACGTGTGGCCCTCCCAGGGTGATATATTATCCACACGGCGCCCGGAGGGACGCCAAATTTCCGTAAAATTAACGTTAAGTTAAAAAAATGCAAAAACCACCACTTTGTAAATATTTAACTTTCGTAATGAAGTAAAACTAGAAAGGGGGAGCTTCACCTGTGGTGTCTCACCTCTGGTGTCTCACCTCTGGTGTCTCACCTCTGGTGTCTCACCTCTGGTGTCTCACCTCTGGTGTCTCCCCTGTGGTGTCTCCCCTGTGGTGTCTCCCCTGTGGTGTCTCCCCTGTGGTGTCTCCCCTGTGGTGTCTCCCCTGTGGTGTCTCCCCTGTGGTGTCTCCCCTGTGGTGTCTCCCCTGTGGTGTCTCCCCTGTGGTGTCTCACCTGTGGTGTCTCACCTGTGGTGTCTCACCTCTGGTGTCTCACCTCTGGTGTCTCACCTCTGGTGTCTCACCTCTGGTGTCTCACCTCTGGTGTCTCACCTCTGGTGTCTCACCTCTGGTGTCTCACCTCTGGTGTCTCACCTCTGGTGTCTCACCTCTGGTGTCTCCCCTGTGGTGTCTCCCCTGTGGTGTCTCCCCTGTGGTGTCTCCCCTGTGGTGTCTCACCTCTGGTGTCTCACCTCTGGTGTCTCACCTCTGGTGTCTCACCTCTGGTGTCTCACCTCTGGTGTCTCCCCTGTGGTGTCTCCCCTGTGGTGTCTCCCCTGTGGTGTCTCCCCTGTGGTGTCTCCCCTGTGGTGTCTCACCTGTGGTGTCTCACCTGTGGTGTCTCACCTCTGGTGTCTCACCTCTGGTGTCTCACCTCTGGTGTCTCACCTCTGGTGTCTCACCTCTGGTGTCTCACCTCTGGTGTCTCACCTCTGGTGTCTCACCTCTGGTGTCTCACCTCTGGTGGCTCAACTCTGGTGTCTCACCTCTGGTGTCTCACCTCTGGTTCTTTACCATTCTTGTTATTCCCTTAACAGATTAAAATTAAAAAGCACTCACCTAGTTGTGCTTGCGGGGGTTGAGCTCTGGCTCTTTGGTCCCGCCTCTCAACCGTATGTGTGTGTGTGTGTTAAGAAATATAATACATACGGCCTTGCTACTTCCCAGAACTGCTAACGAACCGTCTCTCTCCCAGGAAATCGAGTAGCGAGGAAGCATCTTTTTTGTTGTAATTAAGGAGAGGAAAGCAATATATATTTTTAATAATGTTATTCGTAAAAATTATTTGGGCATTTTTTGCTATTATTATTATTATTATTGCAATAGGATTTGTTTTCTTTGGGATCTGTCGTTGTCTCACGTATCTCTTTGTATCTATCTCTCTGTCTGTCTCTCTCTCTCTCTCTCTCTCTCTTTCTCTCTCTCTCTCTCTCTCTCTTTCTCTCTCTCTCTCTCTCTCTCTCTCTCTCTCTCTCTCTCTCTCTCTCTTTTCTCTCTCTCTCTCTCTCTCTCTCTCTCTCTCTCTCTCTCTCTCTCTCTCTCTCTCTCTCTCTCTCTCTCTCTTTCTCTCTCTCTCTCTCTCTCTCTCTTTATCTCTCTCTCTCTCTCTCTCTCTCTCTCTCTCTCTCTCTCTCTCTCTCTCTCTCTCTCTTCTCTCTTTATCTCTCTCTCTCTCTCTCTCTCTCTCTCTCTCTCTCTCTCTCTCTCTCTCTCTCTCTCTTTATCTCTCTCTCTCTCTCTCTCTCTTTCTCTCTCTCTCTCTCTCTCTTTCTCTCTCTCTCTCTCTCTTTCTCTCTCTCTCTCTCTCTCTCAAGTGCCAATTTTCAGGTCCAGTTCTCCAACCTTGTTAATTCGGTCTAATATATATTCAAGGTCTGAAAATTTATATCAAGGAATATTTTGAGACTCAAGTCAGAGCGAGATTAAACTCACTGAGATTGCTAATTGAAGCTCAGAAATGTAGTCTCAAGAATATTTTGTAAAATGCTTGAAATTTGTCGTGTAAGAAAATACAAAAATTCTCTGTCTCTCAAATATATCTTTTTGTTTCTCTGTCTATCTGCATATGTCTATCTATTTTAAGGATGTTTTGTGCAAGAATATTTTATGTAACTTTTGCACTTGGATAAAGGAGAAGTTATAGAGACATCTGTCTACCGGGGCTTGCATTTAGTTAGTATATTCACGCCAAATAAATATGATATTATGTTCAAAGTATGAGTTAGGCGAGTAATAAGAGATAGCTGAATCTGCCAGTGGCTGAGCGTCTTGAGTTGTAACGTCGTATTTTTTTGTGTGGTCACTGAGGCAGGAAAGAGTGTCTTAAACTTATCTCTCTCTCTCTCTCTCTCTCTCTCTCTCTCTCTCTCTCTCTCTCTCTCTCTCTCTCTCTCTCTCTCTCTCTCCTTCTCTAACCAAGTTATTTCTGTTACTTGGGCTGGACGGTAGAGCGACGGTCTCGCTTTATGCAGGTCGGTGTTCAATTCCCGACTGTCCCAGTGGTTGGGCACCATTCCTTTCCCCGGTCCCATCCCAAATCTTTATCCTGACCCCTTCCCAGTGCTATATAGTCGTAGTGACTTGGCACTTTCCCCTGATAATTCATACAGCCCCGCTCCTGAGCCAGGTAGGTCCACTACGGGCTCACCATAGACCGTGCTACTTGGAACTTGTTGATTC